CCTAGGAAGAAGAAAGCGCGCATGAGCAAGTCCAAATTCAAAGCAATGATGATTGTTTTTTTCGATATCCGGGGGGTAATCTACATTGATTGGGTGCCTGAAGGTCAGACTGTCAATCAGGTTTATTATAAAAATGTTTTGACATACCTCCGTGAACGTGTGCGACGAAGGAGACCAGACATGTGGAAGAATGCCTCATGGGTTCTTCATCACGACAACGCGCCAGCACACAACGCGCTATCTGTGAAGAGGTATTTGGCAAAAAGCAACATTCCAGTGATGGAACATCCACCGTATTCTCCGGACCTAGCACCGTGCGACTTTTTCTCTTCCCGAAAATCAAGTCTGCGCTAAGAGGGACCAGGTTTGGGTCCGTGGATGCAGGGAAAGCAAAAGCGACATAGCTCTTGAAGAGCATAACACAAGATGACCTGCAGCACTGCTTCCAACAGTGGAAAATTCGCATGGAGCGGTGTAGGAATCGGGGAGGGGACTACATTGAAGGGGATAACATTTCGATTGTCTGATTTTTTTTCAATAAAGGGTTAGAGCATGAATCCGGTTTCTTTATTGCCGCACCTTGTATTTAGATTGTCAACTTAATCGGAAAAAAAATCTGAAAAATTATTAAAGAAACTGAATACAGCATGTTTTATGCTCAGGAAGTTACAATCCCTTGTCAGTGAACAAGCTCTTCGAATGGTCTATTTTTCTTATTATCAGTCTCAGCTTGAATATAGTATTATATTCTGGGGTTCTTCTCCAGTTATGAAAAGTTTCTTTGTTTCCCAAAAAAGGGCGATTAGGGTTATGCTCAGTTTGAGTGCTGGAAACTCGTGTAGAGAAGGTTTTAAGAGGTTGGGTATTTTGACAGTTCTAGCCTATATATCTATTCTATATTGGTGTCTGTTGTTACAAATCACAATTTTTTTTCAAACCAACAATAATATTCTTCATATAAACACTAGACAGTTTGGAAAGCTACATGTGTCATCAGTGAGATTATCTTCAATCCAGAGAGGCGTGTTATATTCATCCATCATGGTTTATAATAATCTTCCTCAAAATATACGAAGGATGAGAGATAATGTGAAGATTTTTAAATGCACACTGAAAAGTTTCCTCACAACAAATGCTTTTTATTCAACAGATGAATATATTTCTGCTAAGCATGTATAACATTTAATAACTATATTCCTTGCAATTTTGTTTATGAATGACAATGTAAATTATGGTTATTTGGTGCTTCTGGTTGTGTGTGGTTGTTTGCTGTTGACACAATTGTACTTCTGCAATCAAGACTTATTTTGAAGAGTTCAATATCCGGTCAAATTCGGACAATGGATCAGTGAATTTATGAATTATGCATGTACATGTTATGTATGTATGTATGTAAAACCTAAAACTGTAACAATCACTCAAACAACAGACCAAGCCAACTCATAATTACTTCAGATGCACAAATTATCTTCAAACGAAAGGTTTATTTGAGTTACATGAAGCTCAGAAAACTAACAGGAGCAATAAAATGAGCTGTATTACGGAAAATAAGAACAGACACAGCCCTGAAGATTTATAAAATGAATGCACCTGAAACTTTATTATATGGAGACGAAACACGGACACTAATGACAACAGGAAAAAGGACAGGCCTCAGAGACAAAATTATTAAGACCATCAGTGGGCTGCAAATTACATGATGAAACTAGACAGAAGTATAAGAACAGAAATATCATCAACTAATGGAGATTACACCCAATTGGTACGAACATCTTTTAAGAACTGACTCTGACCAAACACTATGCAAACTTTAAACTACAAACTGATAGGAAGACAAAACACTGGAAGTCTAACAAATGCTGGAAGGATCACTTTTGATCCAGAGCGAGAACACATGAGACCGCTTATTCTGTGAAGCAAGCTGATTAGAGTCTGAAGAATGGATCAGAAAAGTCATCAGGTCTGGATTATACAAAAAATTGGATCAGGCGTTAGCTTATATCCAACCTTGACCTATTTTCCATTTAACATCAACAGTGCCATCACTACAAACAAAAAACCACAACCACAGCTATCACTAACACACCACCAATACCATGACGATGACTACAGCTTCAGGGTAATGAACACCATGATGGTGGCCACCACTACCAAAATCATAATCACAACCATAACTACCATGATGAGCACCAAGATGACCACAACCATGGCTATAACCACTACCACCCTCCATGATATGAAGAGTATGGTCTTCTAGTTTGTGACACTGTGTAGCTCAGCATAAGCCCATCGTTTTGGAGGAAAATATCACCTCCATCTTTTGAGATAAAGAGTAAGCCACATGTTTCCGCTGCTTTCTTGCTTGGCTAATGCTTCATTCCTGGAGATGGATGTGACAGTATCTTCCTTTGAAACATTATATCAAGCAGGAAAGAGGAGTAAGACAAGGCCGTAGTCTAAGCCTGCATTTATTTGATAACTTTTATAAATGACATCACAAACAATATTCATACAGATAATCCACATGCAACAACAACTGGAGCAGAAGGATTCAGGGTTAAGCTTATATTTGCAAAGCCAAAGTGAGACCAATACAAATAGGGTATGTAAAATAACCTATGAAAGGCATAACAATACAGAGAAACAGAATGTTTTTTTTCTTGTATGTAAGTGAAGATTTGTACACAGGTGCCAGGATTTCAGAGGAACCTGCTGGGTAGACCGTAAGTTTAAAAGAAGTACATATTCTTTGCCTAGGATATAGTTCCTGTCCTTGCCAATATTACAGCCCTTGTTATGCCGTTAAGACCTTAAAGAAGTAATACTCAGAATTAAGAAATTAAAGTATAATCACAACATAATTGTTGTGAGAGGATCAGAATTCAAATCACTTCCGAAACCTCTACTGCAATACGTGCATATTGTCTTAACAGCCCAGACCACCAAAATAATGGAAAAGTAAAAAAAAAAGGTAAAGCTACCCCTGTAACAGGCCGTGAAGACCCATAGAGTTGTCAGACATTGAGGGTCCCACATTATCTAGACAATCGGCTCAAAGATGGTGGTAAGGTTATCAGCCTTACACGCCGGCCGCGCTTTACAACCCAGGAAAATTTAATTAATTCCTAGTACTCATTTCTGTTGAGAGATGAAGTGAAAGGAGGTTGGAGAAAACAGCATAATGAGGAGCTTCATAAGTTGTACTCTTCTCCAAGTATAAGTAGAATGATCATGTCAAGGAGGATGAGGTGGGCAGGTCATGTAGCACGAATGGGGGCAACGAGGAATGCATATAGGATATTGGTGGGAAGGCCAGAAGGAAAGAGACCACAGGGAAGATCAAGGTGTAGGTGGGTGGACAATATTAGAGTGGATCTTAGAGAGATAGGATGGGATGGTATGCATTGGATAGATCTGGCTCAGGATAGGGACCAGTGGAGGGCTCTTGAGAACACGGTAATGAACCTTCGGGTTCCATAAAAGGCTGGGAAATTCTTGAGTAGCTGCAGAATTGGCGGCTCCTCCAGAAGGGCTCAGCTCCATGAGTAAGTAAGTGAGTGAGTAAGTAAGTAAGTAAGTAAGTAAGTAAGTACTCATTTCTGTTAGAGGCTGAGTCGACCCCAGGGCCATAGTGCGGCCTGAAGGGTGAGGACAATTGAAAAAATCCAATGACCTCATCGGGACTTGAAACCACGACCTTCCGGCTTGTAGCATAGTGCCTCAACCAACTACACAACTGTGTGCCCCCAATGGAAAAGTATGAAGTAAATTTCAAAATATCTTTTCTGTTAGGTCATTGTTAGTAAACAGGAAATGGAAAAAGATGAAACAAAATACAACACACTTACATACGAGGGGGTACCCAAAAGAAACTGAACTTATTTTTTTTTAACTTATTTATTCAAATTTTAAGCACAAACCTTCAATCCCCTTCAAAGTACTCTTCACTTACACTAATACACTTGTCTAGTCTTTTATTCCATTTTTCAAAACATTGTCTAAATTCGTCTTTTGAGATGCTTGACAGCGCCTCCATCGTTTTTTCCTTCACTTCAGCAACATCAGCAAAACACTTTCCTTTCACATGTCTTTTCATTCGAGGAAACAAAAAAAAGTTTTGATCATTTCGGGACTCTTCTTTCAAAGCACAGCATGCTTCCACGCGACCTTGTTTTTGTTCAGCAGTCAGCAGTCGTGGCACGAATTTCGCAGCCACCCTTTTCATTCCCAAATCTTCTGTCAAAATTCGCTGAACTGAGCTCCAAGTCA